CTGGCACCCCTCTGCTGGCCTTTTGTGTTTGGTCCTGTTGAGAACAGAAACTGGCACTTGACTGCTTTTGCCCTTCACCTGGATGGAGGTTGACCCAACTCCAAAGTTTAGGATTTGGGAACCCTTAATTATCCATGCTTGCAAGTAGATCTCCCCCCATAACCAGTATCATCAAGTGATAGAGCAATTGAATATATTACCAAATTGAAAATTTGGGGTTTGTATAAAGAACAAGGATATTCACTGTGGCATTGCTTGTGATTTTTCAAAAATCAGGAAACAGTTTTACAATTTTATTAGCATGTGCTGATTAAATAAGTTGTGGTACATTCACACAGCAACATACCATACAACCACTCAGAAAACCAGGCAACTCTGCAGAACATTCTCCAAGTTCACATAGTTAAGTGAAAATTTTTTTGTCTTTAAAAATTCAAGTATGCAAAGAATATAGCATACTTTTAGATGGTTACATGAAGTAGAAACGAGACATTGAGGAGATATTTAAGAACTGTTTTATCTCTGTATTTGAGCAAATGCATGTATGTTACCTAGCTAGATAAAAAATGTTTTGGACACACCCAACCCCCACCATCCACCAAAAAGGGATAATTTGTCCACAGCTGGGACCTGTTGTCTTGAACGGGTGGTGATTGTGCGGGAACTAAGTCCTTATTCCTTTCTTCTGCCAAGCCGTAGGGCAGCACGTGGCCAGAGCTGCAGGAGGGGCTCTGCTGACATTTTGGACTGCAGGTTTTAGAGCATTTTGATTTTACTATTACTTAATAGACTTCATTTCATGGCTGGATTTTGTGCCTGGAACTCGGTTTACCGTTTTTTGAATGAGTCCTCTGTTGTCCCATGTGGGAGCCTGCAAAGTAGCGCACACAGGTAAGGCTTCTGGGCCCCAAGTTGCTTCTGGAATGGGCTGTCGCCTCGCCTTTACTTCTGTAGTGGGAAACTCAGAAACCCTCTTGGTGGGCGGGGACCTCCTTCTGTCCAGGCTGCAGTGTTCGGCCTTAGTTTGTGGGAGGCTAAGTAAATGTCTTCAGTCGTGTTAAGGGATGTCGAACTAATCTAAAAAAATTAATTTATAGCAGTTGATGTATTTTAGTTGAGGCATTTTGATGAACTTTAAATGGTGACCCAGGGCCTCCTTTCATCCTTTCAGTTTACATTCTTAAGACGCTGATGTGGATAGTTGTATTTTAAACCTGAAACTCATTCTTTCAGATGTGCCGGACTCTAACAGGAGTCCCTTGGTGTGTGTGTTCGTTGTCTGACCACAGGTAGCATAAAAACTAGATTTCAGGAGCACAGGATCGCGTCTGCACTCACACACACACACACACACACACACACACACACACACACACACTTGTTCACGAGCAAAGCATTTTATTTAAACACAGTCTAGGGCAAACGTGCCTACTTTGTATTTTTATTTATTTATTTTTCTTCTAACCTCCCCCTTCCCCCAATTCCTTTCCTGCTGGGCCCACATTCCTAGGTCTTTGTCTCTGCTTGGTATTTTAGAAATTTTGGGAGAGGAAGGCAGTGGGTGGGACGTTCTGGAAGCTGGGGGCAGGGAAGAGGGTGGTCACTTGCAGGGTCAGAGGTCAAGCCTGCTCCATTTAGCTGGGGCAGCCAGATTGTCGCCAGCCCCGAGGGGGCGTGTCCATGCATCTGCCCGGGAAGCCCCAACCAGGCCCTGGAATTCCTGCCGCCAGAGGACCTCTTCTCCCCAGTCCCTCCCCCCCATCCCGGGAGCCACAGTCCATGGCTGCTCCCACATTTCCAGCCATTGGACCACCCTCTGTATAGCTTCCATTTATTCTTTAAAGATAATCTTCTAGCTGTTTTCTAGAGAGTTGCATCCATTCACATCTTTACCTATCGATCATGTTTCAGCAGCTCTAAAATTGTTTATCAATCTTAGAAATTGCAGGCAGATGAGATGTAGAGCTTCTAAATGAAGTGTGAAATCCTTCCCAAGATTTTACTCCAACTTTTAGCTGGAAGGCTTATAAACATTGGTCTCATTTTACAATTTTTGGACAATCCATTTTTTTAAAAAATTCATAGTTTATTAACTACAAGCTCCGTGATGATATTTGATATTCTTTTACTCACCATAGCCTTTTATTTTCAGCCGTCTCCACACCCCCACCTGTGTCACTTCAAGCAGCCTGGAACTTCGAAAGCACTGGCTCTTCTGAATCCGCAGTTCTGGCTACTTAGAGCTGCGTTGATCAGTGTGAAGTGATGCTGGGCGGGGACTGCGTCCAGGCACCTCTTTCGCCTATTCATCTGCTCTCTCAAGGCTGGCCGTGGCAGGGCTCTGGGGTCAGGGGCTCCGGGCACTCTGCCTTCTCTGCTGCCACTTGTTGTGACCAGGATTTCTTTTCCGGCCACTGCATCTGCAGGATCCCTTTAAACCTACCATCCACGGTGGGATCTCCTATGCCCAACATCAGCCAGGCTCCATATTTTAAGATTAACACATCTAAGACTAAGAAAAATCATCTTAATTCCTGCAATTGTACAACTGAAACCTGGGGGTCAGTCAGCTTCCTGGCTCAGCCCAGAATTACCCTGAAGCCTTTCGGTTTCTGTTGTCAAGTCTCTGAAGATACGTTCCTGGGATTTCAGGAGGGGAAGGGGTCTCCTGAGACACCGAGTCAGACCCCGTGTGTTTCACAGATGATACTGAAGCCCAGACAAGTCAAGAGAGGTGACTGGATAGATGGTCCCACAGCTAGGTAGCTAGCACCAGGCTCAGGTTAACAGCCTGAGATTCCTTCCCACTTCCTGACCATGGAGATGAGAACAAGCTACAAGCTAGTTGGTAATATTTGTGTGAGCTCACAGACTGAAGGAAGCAAGGGGGGTCTCCAGCCAGTCCACACAGCTGTCCTGAGAAAAAAGAAAAAAGATATGTTTTTTCAGGTTAGGGTTAGCAGTTTGGTAAAATGGGGGAGGCCACAAAGGGTCAGAGGCATGTTTTATTCAAATTTAAAAGGAACCTTTGGATGGAAGGCTTTCACACTTCACATTAGCATGGGAGTGACCCTTTTATTCCCATGACACATGGAGAGAGCAAAGGGAAGGAATGTGGTTGAAACTGGCAGAGTTACTTTAGCACCACATCTTAAAAAAAAAAGAGATTGTCCAGGAATTTTTCCTGAATTTATCCAACTTAGTATCTTTTGGTTAGAATTTAGACTTGAGATTTAATCGATTGGAAGGATTAGATCATCTCTAAAAGGTGGATGTGTTTAAAAAGCAATTGGCCTTTAAAAAAAAAAGGCAAATTACCACCACCTGGTTTCAGTCTGCCACCGTTGCTGAAAAGTACTCCAGTGATCAAAATTGATGGTAAAGTTACAAACCTTATCGCATTTCCCTTGTATAAAGTAGGATTCATAAAACCTGCTATAGTCCAACTTTTTTTTTTTTTTTTACAAAAGTAAGAATACAATATCCTAAATCTTTCCTTTTTTCCTATTTCCAAATCTGAAAGCTTCTAGAGAAGCAGCTTAACCCGTGCTAAATCATACTTCCCTCTTAATTCAGTTAATTAACCCTGAGTGGAGCAACCTCTTTGCTTGACTGAACCATTTAGGGAAGCATTTTCTAGTGGACACACTTCATACCAAGATTTTGGTTGGTTAATAAAGTGAAAACTTTGGAGAAGGAAAGAAGCAGAATTCTCCTGCCGTTTGCCCCCACACCTCTGTGTGCGTGGCTCTCTGGCCCTCAGGGCCACCTCCAGGCCTCCCTCTGTATCTTCTGCAACAATCTGTCCTGCCGAGGCCGGAGTGAGCTCCTGTTCAGTTCCACACAGACATCTTGAGTCTTGCATCCTGGATCTCCACAATACCTAGCAGAGTGCTCTGGAGGATGAGGTAGCCATGCAGGCGTTGAAACCAGCTCTTCAGAAGGTTCCCTGCTGTGTCCTTACTAACTGTGTGTCCCCGAGCACCTCACAACCTCCTGTTCTGTCTTCCCCTGGAGATTAAATACGTTGTTGTGTATGGGAAAGGTTCCTCTTTGCGCACTGCTTCCCTGCCTGTTGCATGTTAGGTGTAGCTCTCTCTCACACCCAGGTGCACCAGAGGCAAATTTAAGCTCCACTCTTGAAAGCAATCCAGCAAACATTTACAGAGAGTGGCGCTAAGTGCCCTGCTCTGCAGGGAGATACACAATAATGAGACTGGCCCAGTTTCTGTGCCAAGGAGCTTTCTCTCTTGAGAGCTCCTTACTTATCAGTAGGCGAAGGCTGTGCCAACCTTTCTCTCTCTCTCCCTCCCAGCATGCTGGCCCCAGGGAAGTGTATAACATCACATAAAGCCGTTCTGGCAGCTCTGGCTGCCTCCCTGGTTCACCTCCTTGGAATAACTTGGCAGGAAGAAGAAAGGCTAGAAGCTGGCTGGCCTTACCACTGGCTTTTTGCCTTCGCTCCAGAAGCTTAGAGCCCATAGCTTACTTGAGTGTCTGGGAGAAGAACCATACTTTGCACTAATCTCCTTGATGAGGAGGATGGCCACAAGCCATGGGGCAAGGGCGATTTTTACTGGCTCTTAACCTTGCTTCACATGTGTAGGCTGGAGAGGCAAAAGAAACTTTTCTGGTGTATTCTTTCAGGCCACCAATCTCAGACGAGGGAACGCAGTCTCATGACTTTTCTGGATAATTGACCTAAGATACAGAATCTCTGCTTTGAAGTGTCTCAGTTATGGTTCTGAATGAGACTAGAGTGGGATGTGGCAGTTGGTTATTTTTTCCTCTTGATTTGGGGCAGAGGGAGTGAGATGGGCAAGTGGGTATTTCTGGTTGTGTTTGCAGTTAGTACATGCTGCCCCTCCTTATAGGGGTGTGCTTGCTTGTTGGGAAGGGGGTGGTTCAGCATCTGGGATCCAGGGCACCACTGTTGCTGTCTTCCCTCTTCCTCCCATCCTGCATCTCTCATGTATGCCTGTCCCCTCTCTGGTCCCCAGGTGCTGCACCTATACTGTGACACTTGCTCTGTGCCCATTTGTCGAGAATGCACGATGGGCCGGCACGGGGGCCACAGCTTCATCTACCTCCAGGAGGCGCTGCAGGACTCGAGGGCCCTCACTATTCAACTACTGGCTGACGCCCAGCAGGGCCGACAAGCAATCCAGGTGAGCGCCACTCCCACACAACACCTTTCCCCGTTTCTGTCAGATGGCACGTGTAGATGACTGGGCAGATTCCAGTGGAGTGCGTGGGTGGTGGGGTGGAGGGGAGGTATGGAATAGTGATTCAGATGAGCTCGTGTGACATCCATGCAACGATCCCTGGAGGGGTTCTAGTGATCATGTGAAGGTGACAGGAATGTGGCCAAAGTTACTGGCTGGATTCTCAAGCAGCTCGCCTGGGCCCCCATCATACCTAACCTGCACGTTTCCCATCCGGCCTCCTTCCCAAATCCAGGTAGACACTGACACTTTCTAGCCAGGACTTTGGAAAGGTTGGACACTTAATGCTTTTTAGACAGAGACCTTTGCTATACAGATCTACCTATTTATAGATGAGAAACAGGTGAGCATGGGGAATTGTATGTGAGGTTCAGAGTCTTGAACTCTTTCTTGGCTGAAGCAGCCTTGGTAATTTAAACCTCCGTCTCTGTTGAATTCCCCTCACTTTGGGGAGGGGCGTGTGTAACTTTGAGAGGTGGCAAAATTCTCTTACATAGTCACATGCCTGAATTGCTTTTAAATCTTGTCGGATCCAGGTGACAAGGTTTTAGGAAGTGAGAAAATTATGACATGTTTTCCCCGTGTCGTAGGATAGGTTTGAAAGTTAGGAAAACTTACTAAGCCTTCAGCAGAAATTATTGTTTACATTTGAGAGTATTTAAGTGAATTTATTTTAAATATAAGATCTTTTTTGAAAGTGCTAAAGAATCGAGAGCATGTGCCCTAAAGAAGGGGGTGGATTTGATTTAATAAGTTTCTTGGTAGCTATCATGTTCCTATCTATGCATGATATTGAAGTAGTCTGTTCTGATGAGTCAGATTTTTCTGGCGTTCAAGTCATAAAATTGAAAGTTTGAAAGTCTGTGTTTCTGGAGTGACTAATCCTGTCATATTATTACACCAGAGTTAATCAGTTTTTCTCTAAAATGCCCTCGGGGTGTCTCTGGGTGCTGTCCAAGTTCTCTTTTCTCAGCCTCTCCACCCGTGTGCCCCATTCTATGGTGAGTCAGTGCGTCTGCGTCCCTGCGAATGAAGTGGTTTGTCTTCTGTTTTATGCCACAATAGTTAGGACCTTGACAAATGCTTTCCCCTGTTGATGTCTGCTAGACACTGGTACTCAGCCTCCACTGAGGCATCACCTGGGGAACTTAACCCGCTAGATTGTGGTATGATCTCATTAACTCCTTGCTGTCCTTGGAGATTGAGAACACTTAAAGCATTGTTGGGAAAATTGCTGGTGCTCTCTGTCCTTTGTGGGATCAGCCACTCTGGGGAGAAAAGTGAGTCGTCCAGATTTCCTGGAGGCTTAAGGAGATCTTCCAACAAATCATGAGTGGTTAAAATGGTGAAATCCCACAGAAGTGGAAATTCGAACTTTCAGTGGAGAGAAAAGGGAGTAGAGGGGTAGATGATTTTTGTCCGCCATGCCCGACTTTCTAAACTAAATATAGATAGCTGAGAGTCTGCTGTGTGAACAGTGAAAAGAACCTAGGCATAGACCCAAGGGGTGAAATTCAAATATTGACAGTTTGTGCCCGACATTAATCCAAATACTAGGTCATGGGGCACTTTGAGTGGAGGTGGCAGGCAGGTGCTTGGGATGAGGTGGGCTGGTTAATCTCTATGGCCACACCCTGGTGTACTGCATAGATTGTAAATTCCTAGAAAGTCCTGTGTAACACAGGGTGTGGGTTTATATAGCACCCTTTCTTGGCTCTGGGTTGCAGTTCTTGAAAATCTGCATTTAGGCAGTGATGTGAGGATTGGGATGTGATGGACACCTATTTCTTTCTGAAGATTCTTATAAGATCTTCAGTGTATTGTCCATTCCTAGAAGAACCAACCATCTGGGAACTTGGAGACCCTCAAGAAAAACAGAGTGTTGTTCACAAAAGAAGTCCCTGGGTATGAGTGGAAAATACAGGTCCTCTTTCCCTTTGAGGCAGTGAGGGGAAGGCAAGATAAAGGTTGAGGACAAGCTAACTTTGCTCAAAACCCATTTGCTGAAAAGCCAGTTTGTTCCCTGCATAAACCACAGACCCAAATTCTGTCCCCAAGGTCACGAGACTGGTGTGACCCAGTTTTCATTGTGTACAGAGTTTGCACTTAGGTTGCTGGTAGGAATCAGGTTAATCAGAGTTCTGTGCCATTGAAACAGATTGAGTGAGAGTGGGGAGGAGCCAGCACATGTCCCGCAAATGTTTGCCTGAGCCTCTGCTGTGCTAGGGGAGAGTACTGTTCTGAGAGCCCCCGGGGGTGCACACTTAGTTGTGTGCTGGCTGGAGTCCCTGTCTCAGTCATTTTCAAAAGTCATTTGATGTGGAAACAACCTCAGTGCCCATCAGTACATGAATGGATTAATACAATGTGGCATATGTATACCATGGAGTTCTACTCAGCCACAAAAAAACAATGATGATCTAGCACCTCTTGTATCATCCTGGATAGAGCTGGAGCCCATTCTACTAAATGAAGTATCACAAGAATGGAAAAACAAGCACCACATGTCCTCACCATCAAATTGGTATTAACTGATCAACACTTATGTGCACATATAGTAATAACATTCATCGAGAGTCAGGCAGATGGGAGAGGGGGAGGAGGGGATGGGTATATACACACCTAATGAGTGCGGTGTGCACCGCCTGGGGGATGGACATGCTTGAAGCTCTGACCTGGGTGGGGCAAAGGCAATGTATGTACTCTAAACATTTGTACCCCCATAATATGCTGAAATAAAAAAAAAAGAAGAAAAGTCATTTCAAAAGTACATCTGGAAGACATTGGAAAAAGTAGCCACTACACAACA